AACATTAACTCTGATGGGGTACTGTTTGTGACTGACTTTAGAAAGAAGAACAATAAAAAAAAGTAGTCATGAGATGACAAGACAGTGGCCACGTACCTGTGTGTAGGCGCCAAATTCACCATCACATGTGTTGTTGGAGTATGTGTAGTGCTGAGATCCGCCTCTCCATCCACACACGCCTTCAATAAGAGACGGTGTGAAGCCACTAATGAGTGCGATGTTTTGTCCGAGTCCATTGTAGTGTGGATACGAATTGGTATCCGGATGTTCAAAACGACAGTGACTGGCCCAATAAGCCGCCAAGTTTTCCAACTCCTCCGAGTACTCCTAATCACATCAACATTGACGCGATATGTATTTTAAATGACAACGAGAAGAGGAGGGGAAGGGGAGAAGAAGGTGGACAAGTGTGGAAGCGATTGCATAAATTTGTGCACAAACCATCAGTTGCATGTTGCTGGCAGGTGGAACCACCGTCTCCCGAATGTGCAGATGAGCCTCAAGGACATGCGCTCTCTCAACATGTGTAGGCAGTTGGCATGTTGCGGTGGACATTAGGAGGATGAGACACATCGCCTTCTTCACCACATCTGCAAAATTCGATACACATCTACGAGTAAACCACCAACAGCACAAAATATGTTGCGCCCTTAATAGCATTGTAACCTACATGGTGTAGAGAGCATTTTTGTTACCAGCAGAAACAAAACCACCTGATGGGAGAGTTGGACGCATTTATATGGCAGAAGATTTGTTGTGCCTCGCAATGACCTCGTTTTTCTTGACCCAATCCTACATTTTCTAACAAACAACTTTTACAATTCATGCTTTTCATTCACCTTTTGACCTAGCAAGCCTATCACATGCAATTCAGAAGTCACAGAACTTCGATGATGCGGAAAGTAGGATGAAGTAGACGAGATGGACAAATGATAGGTGCCAATCAGTAGCCGAGCGCACGGCAGTGCCATTGGCGCCCGGAACCTAGTAGTTGCCCTCCCGTCAGGGTTATTTTTGGTGTTAATGGCCCACCGCGAGCAAGCGGAGCGATCTCGTGCCAAACAATGATGTCAACCCAAGTACCTAAAACATGGAGGCAGATGGTAGAAGTTAACCAGCGCTGCAGCCAATCGAGTTTGTTGTCTCTCAAACCTTTAAGGGTTACTTAAATTGTAGCACTCTAGTTGTGTATGTGGGTTGGGAATTCCACCTTCTTACCACCGTTCTAATAAACTGCTCCACAAGCACGAGGACGTGATGGAGCCACGGCGTGCTACCATTTTACTCATGGACCGTGTGATGCCTTCTGTACAAGGCAAACTCATCACAAATGCTGCCATTTAGACGATCATAAAGCAGGTTTAGATCTTGCAGATGCATTCCGTACATGTTACGCATTTAATAAAGCCATTCTTTACACCTAATGTTAGTTGCCAGCCTTAAAGACCTGTCTATTACCAATTTGACAATCGGTTGGCGACTAATTATTTGTCACTCCGCAATCAGTTTTGCCACGGTCCATGGGTCATAGAAAGGAATGTGTCTTGCACCGATGAAGGACGTAACACTTGAGTACAACAATGAAATGCCAGCACAAAAGAGCGGGATAATGGGAGCTCCTAACATGGCCTGAAGACCAGAACACTTAATAGGCTCCCAGCGAGCATAAACGGAACCAACTGCCAATCTAAGCATCATAAAAAAGTTTAACATTCATCGTAACTTAATGTCAAAATCAGTTTTGGACTTTCTCACTAAATGCCAACTCGGCGTGGTCTTATGTACCCTCTCGTCATAAAGAAGAAGATCGCTGAAATAAATACGAGTAGTAATTAGGTTCGGGTCTCAAGATGTATCGTCAATCTCTACAGCATTGGGTTTATTTTCCTTCTTCAGATAAAGTGTTTCAACTACCAACGTCAGGGTTGACTAAATGTACTTGCAGATTTGAGGTCAGCATTGGATGCATTGTAGGTGGACCAGGAGGTGATGCACCGTTAGTTGCAGAGTCGACCGACACTCAAAGCCAGATGTGAGGCCCCTTGCCTCTGTGTGTTAAGCTTGCTTAACAGAGGATTAACTGGTTAAAGGTAAGGCTGCGATATTCTCGACCCTGCCGACGAAGGATGTAACACTAAACTTGATTCTCAGGCTGGAGGAATGGTCGCACCTGTCGCAGGTGGACGGTGACTAAAGGACTCCACTGCTTTCCACCTCTTTATTACCTCCATTGTATTGTAAAGCATAACCGGGTGATTGAACTAGCGAG